AATGGCGTTCGAATATCTTGGTTCGGTGCTACATGGTCAGATCTATGATAGGCTTCTAATATTTGCTTTCCTAACATTTTTTATGCGATTTGAGTAAGTGATTATATCTTCTTCATTCTTTTGGTACACACTCCCTAATTCTCCTTGTAATTGATAAACCGTTTTTGTTCCTCCGAAGATTCGTTTTAAATGTTTAGTTAAATCGGCAACGTTATCAAAATCTTTGTCGAGTATAGTTCGACGGGCTTCGCCTACCATGCGAGTTCGTAAAATTTTAGTGAATTGAGGCTCGACTTCTTCGGGAAGCATGGTTTTGGCTTCCTCGCATCCCTCAATAAAATAGCTCAACGGTATATTTTTACCGTCGAAAAATGGGACGGCTTCTACCGCGTATTTTAAGGTAGCGAACGGATTACCTTGCGACATAGTTTTCTTTATTTTTGGTTTTGTTTCTGAAGTTAAAGGTCCGCCGTTATCAACCCTTTTGATAGTCTCGTCACCGAAATCGCCGGAATTATTCCCGATCACAAAACTTTCTGGGAGGGTTTTATCTAATATTGACCCGTCTGCCGAAAAGTTCAATTCTTTAGGTTTACGTTTAGATGGGGGAATAGGCGTCGATGTAAGGTGTGAAGTGTGCGGTGTGCTTGTGGAATTAGAATCTTTATCTTCTCTTAAGGCTGCTTGATACTGTGCTTCTATTTCGTTTTTATTAGAAGTAGACCTCGTTGTCATCCCTATTTTTGAAAAATTGCACTTTTCATCCCGGACGAGCCCCCAATTTTTTTCTCTACTAGTACTGTTACGTCCTAACCTGGAGGGAAAGGGGTAGGGTCAGGCATACGGGCGGACGCAACCATAAAAGTATTTTATGGTGTTTGCTCGCTGGTCGGTATGAGGAGAGGCGACCGCGCGAGCCGAATGATTTTCTTTGGCTGAGAACAGGTCAACGATCGTAAAGATCGATATTACCCTGTTAGAGGCCTCAACCAATTGTTCGTGGTTCCGTTTTCTGGTCAAGAGACTTAACTTCTTTTACCAAGGATGGAACCTCGTGTGATTTTCAAAGGGAAGGGGGTGGGGGTAGAAGAGGAAGGTGTGTGAGAGGTCTTACAACTAATAATTATTTAATTATAAAGGTTTTGACTTACTACTTGGATGTCCTGGAAATATATCTGGATCTTCTTGGGTCGTTCAGTGGTCCGCATTCACATCGATGTATAACGAATATTGCTCGGAGGTTGGTTTAATATGTTGGAGAAGCAATTGCCGCGCGCGGTACTTCACTCCTCCGCAACGAGTTTTGGATTTAGGGATAAGAAAGGAATTTTATGTTAGTCCAGAAATTCCAGGCGTAAAGCGTGCGGTGGGCCGCACCACGATACGCGGGGATACAGAAATCGATACCACGTGCGGTGGTCCGCACCGAAAATATCGATACTGAGTGCTGATCTGAAGAAACAATTAGGAATAAGGCGGGGGTAGGTTGAATGTGTGAGAAATAGTTTTAGTCGAAATATTGTTTAACAAACACGCTTACTATAATTATTGATATACAAGCACTTTGAGATACAATCGGTTTTTCTAATATATTAAGGTATGAACTAAGATTCGATAATAATTGAGCTGGATTCAGAGATGTTGAGAGAACTATATTAACTGCCTGTTTCACGGGTGGGTGTCTTCTTTATATACTCGAAATTTTGGGTTTTGGAAGGGAGACATTCCTTCCAAGGGGTTGTTAATAAAAATAAGATAAAAAAGGTTGTTTGAAGATTAATAGATGGATTGCTCGAATGACATGTTTATCGTTCCGTCGGCTTTTTTGTCGGCGAAAATTCAAAGTCTACTGGTCGCGTGTCTTATCTCGACAAATTTTCGATTGAAGGCCTAAAAGATTATTATAGTACATTCGGGATCTTAAATCATTAAAATAATATTCTCGGAACGTTTCTTTGAATTTTCCCGACTGGTCGTGAGAAACTTGTGCAAGGGAAAGGTCCGTACAGGACGTAGGACGTAACATATCTAAACACCCATTATTCTGAACATCTTGACAAAGATGTATCAAGTTGTGTACATTGTAAATATATTTGATTCACCATATAATACAGGGTGACCAATGGGAATGTGTTGAAAGTAAACGGTTATATATCCCCTCCTCGATTTCGGTAACTGTTTTACCGACTAGGGTCCGCTACCTAAGACCCGTCAATTTCATTTGAACCGTCGTATAAACCGATTTGTGAGTTATAGGATGGACGCGCTAAGCATCGAAGAAAAAGTGTTTCTCATCGAGTGCTTCTATAGTAGAGGCAAAAACTATAGTCAAGCGTATCGTGGATTCCGTAGTAAATATGGATCTAAAAAAGTTTCAAGCGAAACAATACTCAGAAGGTATGTTTTTGATACTTTTTACCCACGCTCCCTCTCCCTGGAATCGCGTCATCATTCCAATGTTGGTTAGGTGAAATTTTATTTTTATTTGTCGATATTTTTTGGCAGGATTATTGATAATTTTGGGTATGGCACTTTGAACGATCGTAGACATGATTTACCTGGTCCATCTCGTACCGTTACAACGGACGAAACAATTGATGACGTTAGAAATTATTTTGACAAAAATCCAAACACCTCGATTAGGAAAGCTGCTCAGGTTTTGGATTTAAAGCGAGAAACTCTCCGAAAAATAATGAGGGACGTCATTAAACTGCATCCCTACAAAATCACTACACATCAATTGCTGACGGAGAAAGCGATGGAAAAACGAGTTGAGTTTTGTAAGGTGATAACCAATATGTTTGAAAGTGAGGAACTCGATGAAAAATAAATAATATTTACGGATGAAGCTCACTTTTGGTTAAACGGATATGTCAACAAACAAAATTATCGGTTTTGGGGACAGAAAAATCCAAACGTGTCTATTGCCGTTTCTCTTCATCCTCAAAAGGTTTCCGCGTGGGCTGCAATTTCTGTAAAAGGGGTCTACCTGCAATTTTTTGAAGGAACTGTGACTAGTCAAAGTTATAAAGAATTATTGGAGACTAAATTCTTTCCCATGCAAAGAAACGCGGATTAGTAAAGAACTTCCATTTTATGCAGGATGGCGCGACCCCACATCGTACACGCGAAGTCTTTGAATCGATACATGAAGTGTATGGCAACAGAGTAATTGGATTAGGATACCGGAAATTTGCTCATGGAGGTCTGGAATGGCCTCCTTATTCACCTTGATTT